CTACCTTGGTCGACACACGTTAACGAAACTTACCGTAAGACAAGAAAATTATCAATTTATGACCCGAGACACCAAACGCTTTCAACACGTTGCTCTTTAATTTATAAATGCTTGACTGCCTGTATTCAACCTCACTAGCCTTAATGCCCCTATCATTCTTCCGGGTCCTCTATGAAAGGGATTCCATGCTGATTAAGACTAATAAAAACTGTCTCTTGGCGGCGCCTATTTCTCATCCTACACTTCACAACAATCATTGACCGTACACAGATAAGGGAAGAAAATCGGTCAGTAGGACTAAGTTACCACCTGCTCCATTTCATGCTCCTTCAAGATCTGAAGCGACTTCTGCCAACGACCAACTTTTAGCGGCGACACGAATGAACTCGCACCCATTCCCATCTCAGATACATCCGGCGGAGTTCAACATTTTGATGCCACTCCTCCTCCAATTTGTCCAGATGACAAAGCTACTTCATTGCCAAACCAACGGCAACCTAAGCATAATGCCTCGGTTCCTGTCGTGTCCCCAACTGCCTCGATATTCCCACATGACACCCCGCACTTACCAACACACTAACAGCTAACTCGGGCGCACCATACTCGCACTGACTTAGCATGTGTACCATGCTCGAACCTAAAGATCCATATAATCACACAACAGACTGCGATAATTCCCCAATATCTAGTAGACTTTCAGTGATTCTGCTTAATGCCAGATGCATAATCAAGAGACTTCATTTAATAAACACTTGCACAGTTCAATGATCCACAAGCGATCCTCGTCACTATAACATGGTGTTCTTCAGATAGTTTGACGCTACTTTGATGATTCCAAACTACTACCTACTTCGAGAAGATCGCTGCGGCAGAAAACGTGGAGAGTGTATTATATACCTGCACAAGCATCTACAGCCAAACCTATAGACTACTCACAATTGGCTGTCAGTTGCGGGTGTCTCATCTTACACACCGCTCACATGTATCTACAACCCACTGAATGCGTATAACGTGAGTAACGCTAACATCACTTCTACATTTGACTTCACAACAGATTTGACACATTGCCAGAAGATTATTGCCGGCGATTTCAACCAACCGTAAATACGCTGCTCATCTCACCCAAGGTTTACCTTGCACGCCTTTTTTCTTTCCTCCATCAGAGCCGGGGACTGGACACAATGGATAACCAGTCCAACCAGGTCCGCCAATGAAATGGACTTAATATTCACATTGGGGATACCCAACCCACAGACCGAGATATTAAACAATCGCCCTGGAAACGACCATTAAATCAACCGACTAAGTTTCCAAATTAAAATCTTCACTAAACTCACCACTACAGCGTCAATTCCAACCGAGAAGATAAACTGGGAACGCTTTCAGGGGTTCATTCGTTTCTCCGACTACATGTATTTTTCCTCTCTACCTGTGTGTACACCGCTGTAGAGCAGTTCTATAAACAAATCCATCACGCTAAAGCCCTCCCTGCTCCACAATGTGACCATACCCCTCATGTCTCCAAAGATTCCGTCGAGCACTTAATCGGCAAGAAAACCAGAAATTTAGCTGCAATATACAAAAAGATCCATGACTTTTCACTTATGTTACAAATGCACGAATTTACCTTCAGAGGCAAACATACATAACTAACATGAAAAAATGGAGAACATATAGCCCTATGGACAAGCAGCAAAGCTAGAGAGCATGTCAAAATACTGCATCGTAGAACTAGTGACTGCTCTCCTCTGAGTACCGGAACTGTTAACGGTGAAAGTCACTTATTCCATGATCCAGCTTAAATCTGCGAAGCATTCACTGAGTATTTTGTCACTACCACGAGTAGCGAAGCTGACCCTGTGCTTGTATGCACAGAATTTAAAGTAAAAAATCTCAAGCAGAATCGAAATCTCGCTCCACGGTATCCATTAAGTTATCAAGTTACTCAGGCCATCCTCTAAGCTGGGATCTAATGGCATTTCGCCAACCACCATTAAACTAGGAGGGCCTGATATACCACTGCTCCTGAGGAGCATGTTCACTCTGTCGTTGGAATCTAGCCACTTTCCAGGCCAATGGAAAACATTTATTTTGATTCGACATAAAGGAGGTCCCAAACAAACTGTTCATAACTACCGACCAATCCACCACACCGATAATCGCTCGGCTATTTGAAAAACTGGTCAGAAAAGAGATGATGAACTTTGTAGATTTATTTGCTTGATCGACAATACGCAGCATGGTTTTCTTAACACGCGATCATGCATCATCTGTCAACCGCATTACCTTAACCACATTTCAGAATCGATCGATTCCGGCCATGCAGTAGTACTCCTGCCTCTTGACATACATCAAGCATTCAACCAAGTACCGCACAAGCGACTGTTCCAAAAGTTAGAGAACTTTGGGATCCGGGACCCATTACTAGGTTGGCTATCGTCATACCTTAGTGATCGACATCAGCTAGACACTTTAGGTGACTATCACGCTACTCCATGTTCAAGGGAGCGTAATCGGTCCCTACTCTTTTTGCTCTACATCAATAACATCACCACATTTGCAAAACATGGTAGGCCATTTTCGTTTGTTGACGATATCAAAATCGTATCTAAGCCTCGGCGTGAAGAGCTTTACGTGACACTACTTTTCATTCAAGATGACTTACATTCCCTTGAGTCGTGGTGCTGCACATGGGCGATGAACCTCACGGCTAAGAAATCAAGCATCATTTCTTAAGGCTGCTGCATCCCCAAAGGATCTAACACTCTAAAAAATGAACGTGTTCCTACAAATCTGTCCACGCGAGGTCTTGGAATTAGGTACTCATCTACCTTCAATTTCTCCGAACAGGCCCAATACCACTTAGCACGTGCCAGACAGTCTATGTTAAATATCGAAAACAAAATCTACACAACTCGTGCTAGAGTTGAACTTTTCAAGCTACGCACTCGCCACATCTACGAATACGGAAAATACGAATACTGAAAACATGTGAAAGAGTGACAGAATGGCTGTGGAGCACCTGCAGATGCCATTCACTCAACTTCTGATTGGTAAGAACTCTGTACTGAGTTATCGAGAACGTTGCAATGAAGTTCAACTCGAATCACTTTGGATTCAATGATTGCAGCACAACTTATTGCTGCTTTCCAACGTGCTACACAAAAAGACCCATTACGACTTACCTACACTCAATTTACAACATTGCTCAGCTCGAACACTTCGCAACAAAGGTTTTACACTGAATATAGCGATGGCTAGAACGAACGTCCGCTCTAATTTCTTCCTCGTCAGTATAGCTATCCATGGAATAAACTACCAATAACACTCAAGTCATGTGATAATGTGGCAAAATTTAGAATCAGACTCTCCAGTTATCTTGATCTAACTACCATAATCTCCATATTCACACGGTCAAAGCCCTCGATGAGCTATTCCAAGAGGGGCCCAAAAGACATCTAAACACTAATATTTTCAAATCTGTTTTAGCGTCAATCAGCCTCCAGAACGTTAATACATGAAGCGCATACTCCCATAATTCACCGTTACATGTCGCCCACGCAAGTGCACGGATACTTTTGTACAACTTGATCTGTGCAGCTACGGACACATTTTCTCGCATCAAGAGAAATATACGTATTGTTATTATTATTATTATTATTATTATTATTACATTAGACTCCTCTCTAGGTGTAGGAGATTGTGCAGAGAGTCTTTTATCAACTATTCCTTGATAAGCATTTTGGTGCATGTGACAAGTTTTCATTGGAGGTTTTATAGGACCCATTTTACTTCCTACAAGATGAGTCATCAGAAGTCCCCTCCCGTTCGTTCACCTGATTTAAATTTATGGTACTATTTCCATGAGCAGTATCCTAACCATCCTATCGTATTCACTCAGATTTGTTACATGACTTCTAGAAACTCCACAGTACTGTGTGTGAATTTATCCGGGTAATGTGCATGCACAGGTTAACTTTTAACATTTTTCTTGCAATTTTAGGTTTATGTAATGACTCACTACATCCACAGTGTTACACAAAATGCTGAAAATGTTCCAAGTGGGATGTCGAAAGTCCATGTTGACTTGATTGTACTTACTAGTACATCAGTATATGAATACCAAAGTACCAAATTCGCCCTGTGCTTCACTACGCGGCCGTTGCGATTGGCAGTTCAATAACGAATCGCCTCATGGCATTCTAACAGTACATCAAGCTGCCCGGTAGGTCAAAAATCTTGTTTTTCAATTGAAAGGCAAAGCTTTACTTAATATGACTGTGTTGTGGCACTTTGCCTATGTTCTGCAGCTAAGCACACCCGAAGCTGAGGCTGGGGTCGATATAAACTTGTTAAATATATCGAATTTGTCGAAAGGTTGATGTCGTCCATAAGGAATTTTGTGAACTGACCATAATATACCGCCTTCCGTAGTGGCACCACCGTTTACTATACAGAGTTAGATTACTCGTAAGCACGAATACTACAACTTAGGGAGCCGCACTTGCCCAAACGTGGCATTTGATTTTATAAGACCATCAGTACACTCCTGCGCGGATGAAGGCTATTCACGCTACCCTCACGATATGCCCGGTCTGGTACCACAGACATGCAGAGGATTAGCGTTTCTAACACACTGTAGCCTTCTACGGTTCAATGAGCCGGTGTGTCAACTGTACTGACTGTCACACAAGAGAATACCAGCTTAATTCTGCGTTTACAATGCTGAAGAGAACTAAGTGCCTACTCCTTCCACTGCAGATGGACAATCTTGAGTGAACAGCAGTCTACTGAATATGTGATAGCGACCGATGTCCCGGACTATGGTCTCCCTAGTAAGCACACTAGAAATCTAGTTGGAAAACACTATAAACATATGGCGGTTTCACCGTCTTGGTTCACTGTGATCCCATTGAGAGAGGGAACTCGGGGTAGGATACAAATAGGATCAGGCATCGCAGTTGACAGTCAGTTACGGTAAGCGAAAAAATAGTACTCACCTGGTTCACACTCCGGCAGATCTTCCGCATCATATGGCTCTTTATCCCATGGTAGGTTGACACGAAATTTAACCGCATAATCTGGCCAAGAGAGGCTCGCCACCTTAGTCAAATTCAAACCAGTGCCTGTAGCGGCCAGTGATGGGAGGACCATGGTGAAGTCAAGAGCTGCATCTACTGGCTTCCCTGCTTTTCCAAAGGTCACCGAAACAGTTTCTGGGTTTCCGACTGGAATTTTTAGCGTACTTCCGTTTATATTGGCAAAAAAGCCCGCCGTGATGTCTGACAAACCAACTGACATCGTTTGTAGGTGCACCTGTAGCGCAAAACCCACAGCGAGGCTGAGTGCTTTGTAAGTTTCCTATCGATAACATAGAAGGGAGACATATTTTGTAACTGACAAACTCATTAGCATAACATGGCAATTTCGTAACAGGTTTATTATCTTATACATCTAGTTTAACGTAGTAAGTACCGTGGCAGTATAGTAACATTTAGACACTGTTCTTCGGAAAGCAACCCCAATGTAAAGCACAGTGCAAGGGTTACTATCGACCACTACAACCTTTTGTGTCGACTGTTACTCCCTCCCTACACATGTTTGCGAGACGTTTCGCGAATATGAAGACTTGGTGATAATAAACAGGTAATTTTACCTAGGTTTTCAATAACTGTTGTTATCTATCAAGTATTTTCGTCCGCACATTTCTCCGTATTCTTCATCGATATTCCGACTAGATATGCTGAGTACCGCGAGTACGCGGAGGAATTGATGGGAGCAGGGTACTGAATAGATGGTTTGATTCTCAATGGCTACTTTTCTCGTGCTGTAAGACTTGGTCAATGTTGCAAGGTACTGATTGCTCAGCGCTTATCCTATACATATCGCTAACGATGTGCGCTGAAGCTATCTGGACGTACACTACGTTACGTGTTGCTAAACTGATGATATCATCATGTCAAATAGCCTAATCTACAGGTTCTGTGGAACGAGAACACAAATTCAAAATTACCACCAATTAAAACCAAAGGACATCGTCATTGTCCCGAGCAACTCTGAAAGAAAGATGGGCCTAAGAGATAAATGTGAGAAGAAGTGGCGTCGAAGGAACCAATTGATAAAGTAAACCGGTGGAAACAATGCTGTTCAGAAGATATCGCGACTTAATATTATCGCGCATAACAAAATTTTGTGAACTGATGTTGTGATGTAGATCCTCATACTGCTGAACAACTAGAAGTGTTACCGAGTAAGAGCATGTTGCACTATCAACACCTCTGATGAAAAATCAGTAATGACTTGAATTCCGACAGACATAATGGGCCAGCATGCGCAAACTCCCCTAGCTGGTAAATCTGCTAGCAAAACCGAAAGCCTAAGGTAAATACAACAGAGAGGAAAATGTTCCGGTAGAAGAGACTGTAGACTATTTATGTTATGCTCTTCGATCGCGTCATGGGGATATCCGTCACTTAAACGACTGACTTTAAGGGTTACGTCTGATGTGTACCAGGAACACACAATCTCATTTCGAAGGAAAGTTCTATGGACAGATGGACGGAGCTGCAATGAGCACTCTGCTAGGAGTACTGTTAGTAAATATATTTACGAGCAAGTTGGAGGAAAACTATCTGAACTGTGTTATCAACAACTTAGTCTAATCCGGACGGTAGGTGGACGATATATTCCGCGTCTCAGTTAGTCGCTTTCGTGCGACAGAAGAATAAGTTATATTTCTCATGGTGCCGAGAAAGTGAGGCAAGTGAACTCATTACATTTCAATCTAAAATTCACCGTAGAATCTGTGTACAACGAATCATTGTCGTACGTGGATGTTCAAGTGAGCTGAAGATCTGATGGGTCTATCCAGCGGAGTATTCATAGGAAGACAACTCGGAACGGGCAATATAGTCCTTCTGCGAACCTCATCCAGCTTAGCGAGGAGCAAAACGTTTTTCGATGCCGAAAGGAGCAAGCAAGAAGGATAGGGAGGGAGGACAAGCTGTCGGACAAGTTGGTACGAAGACTGCTCGACAGAAAAGGCTATCTGAAAACAGGTGAACAACGAAAAATTTCGAAACAAAGGCGTTTTATACAGCAGGAACAAACCGATCCATTACCGTTACTGCTCAAGGCAGCCGAAATAGATCAATCGACGTCCAGATGCCTTCGGATATCATCGCCGAAATCCACTGCGTAGCAAGGTTAGGGACAGGATTCAACTCATTACAGATATTTTAAAAAAGGACATAATTTAAAGGTAAAGTATTAATTCCCGCGTATACCCGCCTGCGTGTATCGAACAAACTGTACCGGAAGAACCAGCAAAAGACTGTTCAAGAAGGCCAGGGAAAAAAGCAGGCTTGGCTGCATATCGGAGAAACGGTACCATATTACACGCATGTTAGCGCATTGCAACAAACATTTAGCGTGGCACATTTTCGACTTCGCATGCACTACTTTCAAGTTAGCGAGGTTAAGAACGCTGTTTTGGCGTCGTTGACACTCTCATTGGTCATGGGACGTAAACCAATGGGACACCGGTTAGAAGCCCCCGGCATAAGCGACAGACAGTCCACTGAAAGTGGTCGAGTAACACCTTCTGTTCTATTTTGATGCCTATCTGAAGGAAACCTCGATGATTGGTACCCAAACTGAAACCGTCCAATGCGCAACTCGTGATGCCTGTCTAAGGAGGAGATCCTAGCTACCACATGATCCGAAGCTTAAGACATGAAGCGGTCTATAGTGATCGCTAGCGGCTACCTGGTGGTGGTTTATTCAGTGGCCTAACCGTGGTGGCGTAGACAGGCAATCTGCTAACTGGGATTCCGCATTTCATCAGTGGCTGCTAGGCGGTTATACAATGTTGTGCGATTGTTATTGCGACGACCATAGGGGACATTGTTCCCAGGAAAGTTGATAGACCAATCTGAAGCTGAACAACGAAAATTCTAAGTTGGCTTACTTCGATCACAGTTGATGACACAATAAAAGTAAGAGGATTGCAAGTGTGACATTGACACGACGTTAGTGAGTGTTCGTTTATCTCCGTACCCATAGGCGACTTTGTGAATCAGTTATCGCTTCAGTGTCGCCATGTATGGCGTTATGTAAAGGTCATAGGGACCTATATATTCATAGGATTATTAGACTTCACTTCCATATGGTCGCCCATACGCGTTGAGACGCTTTGACAAGTGGCTCTCCGAATGGCACAATTAGAAGCACAGTCCATGCAGATGGAATCCCCCTATTACGTCCATGGACTGGAATGCTATCCCCATGAAATCGGCATTACTCAACAAAGAGACACCTAAAGGGGATACAACGACTATGGTGTTTATACATGCCACATCGTCCTGCTAGGAAGAACGCAAGACTTGTAATTAGTGGCGATGCAGACATTTTACTCTGGTAATTCAGGTGAGTACTTGTAAGAGACAAACACCGTTGTCTCACCTACGGGCGTTCCTGCATTGTGTTTGCAATCATGTACAAAGGCAACCGCGCCCACTAATACTGCTATGGACCATTGTTACAGATAGTCTTAGAAGCAGTAGTTTGTACACACCGTGACACAGGTAGTTTTCCACTTGGCAAATACTCGGAAACATTTTGTCATTGGAAAGTAGGTAATTCCGGAGGCATTGTTGAAGGAGGAAAATTGCTCCAAACTCTATGCTTACTATGCATATGCAATGCTCGTTGGCAGCTCATATCAGGGCCGTAGGGTCACTTGATATTTAAAGCTTGTCAATCACTTGGAAGTGAAGTGCAAATATCATGTTGAAACGCAGGATTGACATGCATCTTACGACCTTAACGTAACAGCAGGTCCATGGGTCCTGTAGCGGTAACCGATTACCGCAGTGGCCCACAGGTGTGGAGACGAACGAATGCTCACTAATGTCGTGTCACCGCCACACTAGGAACCCTGCTCTTTGAAACAATGGCTACAGATCCACTGATGGTCTTACCTACATAGCGAACTTGACCTTAGTATACAATGCGCCGACTACATCAGCAATACGTAGCTACGCTAGCCACATGAGTGTACGGTCAACTGAAAAAACACAGCAAGAGAACTTTGTAGTTGTAAAGCTTTCAAAAATTCTATTTGCGAAGAAGTTCTAGCTTTACCTCCTTCATACAAATTGCTGCGTCGGTTCTGATTACCTCACACAGCCTTAACAATCACACGTATATCCTGAGCGAAATCGCCCACTTATCGATTCTCCAGATTGCTCGCAGTGGCACGATTACACTATGCACACCGCATCACGTGTGACCACATAGGCAAGCAAACAAGCAAGGCAACCGTGCAGTCAACCGGTAAGCCTACAAAGCTTCTCTTCAAACATCCTGCAAAGGTTGCAGCCATAACACATTCAACAAATTCGCTTCTTATCATTACTCAATTAGATGTCATCTTGCTCGCGTGATAGTGAAACTTTACGCCAGATTGGCAGCAAGAACAATCACGTATTATGTCTCCCATTGGCTACTCATCCTCGACACCAGTGAAGTGTGCTGGTACACCGATTGCGATCAACAGATATGCGACCGACAAACGGAGCGAAGGGTACAGCGAATTTGCAAGCTTACAGCCAGCCTGCAGGTAGTTTTAAATAAAACAATCGTTTCAAAATATGCTCCTACTTAAAAGTACCAGCACATTTTGTGCCTCACCAATGCGCGCCTGAAGGAAAGCCGAGGTGTTCTCTCTGAAGTCAGACCGTCCAATCGACATGACCGAAAGCTTCCATACGACTGCATGCCCGCACAGCGTCACCCTTGTTAGTCTTCCCTTTGGTGTGGCCGCAGACTCGACCCCAAAGTGCATCGCGTGATACGCAGCGGACCAATATGGTCCAGAGCACACGAGACGTTTACTGGGCTACGAGTGCCAAAGAACGGGTAAACTACCAACGGAAGCGATCGATATTACTGGTTCACCAGCGGTTTCGTCATCGTGTCGAGGCTGATCAGACAATGGGAGACATAATACGTGATTGTTCTTGCTGCCAATCTGGCGTAAAGTTTCACTATCACGCGAGCAAGATGACATCTAATTGAGTAATGATAAGAAGCGAATTTGTTGAATGTGTTATGGCTGCAACCTTTGCAGGATGTTTGAAGAGAAGCTTTGTAGGCTTACCGGTTGACTGCACGGTTGCCTTGCTTGTTTGCTTGCCTATGTGGTCACACGTGATGCGGTGTGCATAGTGTAATCGTGCCACTGCGAGCAATCTGGAGAATCGATAAGTGGGCGATTTCGCTCAGGATATACGTGTGATTGTTAAGGCTGTGTGAGGTAATCAGAACCGACGCAGCAATTTGTATGAAGGAGGTAAAGCTAGAACTTCTTCGCAAATAGAATTTTTGAAAGCTTTACAACTACAAAGTTCTCTTGCTGTGTTTTTTCAGTTGACCGTACACTCATGTGGCTAGCGTAGCTACGTATTGCTGATGTAGTCGGCGCATTGTATACTAAGGTCAAGTTCGCTATGTAGGTAAGACCATCAGTGGATCTGTAGCCATTGTTTCAAAGAGCAGGGTTCCTAGTGTGGCGGTGACACGACATTAGTGAGCATTCGTTCGTCTCCACACCTGTGGGCCACTGCGGTAATCAGTTACCGCTACAGGACCCATGGACCTGCTGTTACGTTAAGGTCGTAAGATGCATGTCAATCCTGCGTTTCAACATGATATTTGCACTTCACTTCCAAGTGATTGACAAGCTTTAAATATCAAGTGACCCTACGGCCCTGATATGAGCTGCCAACGAGCATTGCATATGCATAGTAAGCATAGAGTTTGGAGCAATTTTCCTCCTTCAACAATGCCTCCGGAATTACCTACTTTCCAATGACAAAATGTTTCCGAGTAGTTGCCAAGTGGAAAACTACCTGTGTCACGGTGTGTACAAACTACTGCTTCTAAGACTATCTGTAACAATGGTCCATAGCAGGATTAGTGGGCGCGGTTGCCTTTGTACATGATTGCAAACACAATGCAGGAACGCCCGTAGGTGAGACAACGGTGTTTGTCTCTTACAAGTACTCACCTGAATTACCAGAGTAAAATGTCTGCGTCGCCACTAATTACAAGTCTTGCGTTCTTCCTAGCAGGACGATGTGGCATGTATAAACACCATAGTCGTTGTATCCCCTTTAGGTGTCTCTTTGTTGAGTAATGCCGATTTCATGGGGATAGCATTCCAGTCCATGGACGTAATAGGGGGATTCCATCTGCATGGACTGTGCTTCTAATTGTGCCATTCGGAGAGCCACTTGTCAAAGCGTCTCAACGCGTATGGGCGACCATATGGAAGTGAAGTCTAATAATCCTATGAATATATAGGTCCCTATGACCTTTACATAACGCCATACATGGCGACACTGAAGCGATAACTGATTCACAAAGTCGCCTATGGGTATGGAGATAAACGAACACTCACTAACGTCGTGTCAATGTCACACTTGCAATCCTCTTACTTTTATTGTGTCATCAACTGTGATCGAAGTAAGCCAACTTAGAATTTTCGTTGTTCAGCTTCAGATTGGTCTATCAACTTTCCTGGGAACAATGTCCCCTATGGTCGTCGCAATAACAATCGCACAACATTGTATAACCGCCTAGCAGCCACTGATGAAATGCGGAATCCCAGTTAGCAGATTGCCTGTCTACGCCACCACGGTTAGGCCACTGAATAAACCACCACCAGGTAGCCGCTAGCGATCACTATAGACCGCTTCATGTCTTAAGCTTCGGATCATGTGGTAGCTAGGATCTCCTCCTTAGACAGGCATCACGAGTTGCGCATTAGACGGTTTCAGTTTGGGTACCAATCATCGAGGTTTCCTTCAGATAGGCATCAAAATAGAACAGAAGGTGTTACTCGACCACTTTCAGTGGACTGTCTGTCGCATATGCCGGGGGCTTCTAACCGGTGTCCCATTGGTTTACGTCCCATGACCAATGAGAGTGTCAACGACGCCAAAACAGCGTTCTTAACCTCGCTAACTTGAAAGTAGTGCATGCGAAGTCGAAAATGTGCCACGCTAAATGTTTGTTGCAATGCGCTAACATGCGGGTAAAATGGTATAGATCAATGAATAGCCTTGTCGATTCGAACCAGCTCTTCTACCGGCTACACAGATGCCAAACGCCATCCTTCGGTTTTCGCCTACTGGCAGTGTCCGAGTCAATCGCCATTTGGCTTCGTGATGTTGAGTTTAGTGCGCGTAAATAATTTGTCCAGTTACACACTCTACCCTGGTTAACTTTAACATTGACTCGGATGTTAGACAACACTGCACCACAAGCACTCATGATTGCCTTTTGCCAATTCACCTAGGTTTTACACTGAGACTATTTGTGCTTTCCAAACTTCACCCTTATCTGATAATTATATTCTTGTCACACATTTGTGTTGTACTGTCCTGATGAGGAACCACTGAAAACGGTCTTGTTCGCTAACTTTTTTCTCATATCTACATCTGGGATTTATTACCAGTTAGAGACATCTTTGTTACGTGCAACTCAAAACACCGTTGCAGTGTTTGTTTTGTCTCCACTATCAAGCTCTCTGCGAGCGCAGGTAATTGTGCATATTGTCATGCCTAAACCTTATTCAACGAAGCAACCAGATCCCACCCATGAGAAGTAAAGCTGCTTTCATTTAACTTTCTGAATTGCACGATTTTCAAATACGACAAATCTGTCTAAAGGACTTGCCCCGGTTCGATTGATTGGAGTCCATTTTACCACATACGATACTATTTCTTGATGTAACCCTGCAAATATAATTTAATGTTCCCATAAACAAGAACTCACATACATTGGAAGTGATCAGTGCCTGTAGCTGGCACCGCACTGTTGCACGCAAGTGCAAACAGAATTAGTAGAATCACATCCACCGTGTTATGGTGCGCGAATCGGTGTTCGGCGGTTTCCACTGAACATCGGGTTAGCTTGTAGACCATGCAGTGGGTTTATTGTTGTGGCGCAAAATACATTCACGTGAACAAATTCACTTGTTGTCTTGTTCGAAAAAAACAGTGGAATTGTGGTACATTTGAAATTTAATGCAGTGCCAAATAACGTTGTTTCATTAATGTCTCCTGCAGCTGAATTATTCAGTTTCACTTTTACCATCCAGGTTGCAGGGTGGCAATGAGTCCTCAAAAAATTAATATCATTAAACGAGAAGTTAACTTAATTCATCGGTGTTCGGATGAGTTAGTGCTAGCACGCCAACACTGTCTCGACATTCCGCGACAAAGTCAAATGCACGAGATAAGGACACATTTAACGGTCGTTAAATAGTGAAACCTTCCCCTATTTCTTCACCATAATGGAATGAATTATTTTATCAGCCCAAATGTTTTCACTATTAGAATGTGAAACTCTCGCCCGGTGCCTGACTGCATATCGAAATTCGTCCCGTGCTTATTAATCGGTCACCGAACGTCAGGTGCGTCAGGCGAGTTTAACCAAGCTTAGCTGCATATGAACGTAGCATATCGTTGGAAAGGGGGATAACCGGACGACTGCGTCAACAAGCGATCAGATCGCCATGCCACCAAATTGTATGTGCTGTTCGAACAGCAGAAGTACCCACATAAAGCTTTCTAGCGGTTTACGCTGGGATGCAGTCAAAGCTACGAAGTTTCCAATACTGTAATATTCTAATTAAGTGGCTGTATGCAGTATATCCATTTGCAGGCTATTGCATAACAACTTACCTCAGTCCCGGCTACAACTGTTGTTGGTAAGTCCAACTGATATGGATGAGGAACAAGTAGAAGTGGGGTGTTGGTCAATGTTCCCAGTTCGGGCTGGCTTTTTGACAAACCCTCCCATATTCGGCGTGCGTCCTCAGAGAACACTGTTTGGTCAAAAACAATGAATGGAGCAGATCCGATTTGTTCGGGGTCAGTCTGTTTTATTGCCAGAAGGAAACTTGCCACAATCCTCAGCTGACCAAGCATGAGACAAACTGCAATGATAGAGTATGATGCATCGGTGAAATGTAACCCATTTCAGTTATCCTCCAAAAGGCGAAAATGATCACGCAATATACTGCTAAATCGTGCCGTAAGTTTGAAATTACTGCTTTCTGAATATATCCCCCAGTCGAAACGTGTTCCGCAATACATGCGAGAAAGTTGGGGTTCTTAAATTTGACAACTGCACCAACCCTCGAACATTTTGTTCCCTGGTTCAACTACACCCGCGTCCACCAGTAGTTTGTTCCCGTGAAGGATTATGAGCAAGTAGTGAGGCACGCATTGCTCACAAATTAGGCCGGTTTTATCCGGGGCTTCACATTGAAGTTACAGCTTCGCTCGCTTTAGTGTTATTTCAGTTGCCTCTGAAGGATCCGACTGAGTTCCTTTTCCGCATAACAGGGACAGGCATTTTCGTAGTGCGTTCCGTGACAGAAACCGCTGTCAGTCAAGGTGAATCTGTGGTCTCAGACAGGATAAACATCTTTATATAAGCAGTGTTCAGGGCAACACAAATTCGCAGATTTCGTTCTTCATGGTATTTGATCTGATCACTTAGGTGCATCAAATGATCTATGTTTAAGCAAAGCAGGAATTCATGCGAACTGAGTAGTGGAGAGTTGTCTTCTTTCGATCTGACAGCAACCGTGGATTGGAAATTATGACAGGAATATTCTTTTACTCCATACGAACTATCCATTACAAGCTTTATAATAGCAGCAAACAAAAGCATTCTAGCGGAACACTCTGAATTCAAACATTTCGGGTATTTTCATGAGCCGGTTATATGCCTTCCGTGAAATTACCGTGTTGCGTACAAGTGGGGGACAATGCACAAGTGAATTCAATTTTAGGGATCCGATCATTTGTCTCGCCAAGCCAAGACGAGACTGGTCATGAGACTCGTCTGCATGCACAAATTAGGTTCCAGCTGCCGAATCACCGAAGCTTTTCTAAACTGAAGCTAGTAGGCATGGCTCTGAATGTCAAAATTCCGTGATTAGTTCAGCATAATCAACCGACAGTGTAGTGTCCACTTACTTTAGTTTGCCGAAGACCCAACAATTAGGAGGGTAAAATCCAATTTGTGAAAACTCACGGAGTCTATGGCCATCACTGCATTCGTTCGGTGAGGTCATAGGTCGGGCTTTTTAAACCGAATGGCTTTACATATTTCTCCCAATTGTACACAACACCATAACTGCACCAGCTATTCGTAAATAGCTGGTGAGAATGCCCGAAATATCCGAATTTAGTGTCCTATTAAAATACTATCATCTCTTATCATCTAGAACTGTTGGATAGATGGATAGATAGATAGATAGATAGATAGATAGATAGATAGATAGATAGATAGATAGATAGATAGATAGATAGATATAGATAGATAGATAGATAGATAGATAGATCGGGGTTTATAAAAGCGAAACGGCTATTGTGTATGTTTCCACACGGTGCAGAAAAATAACCAACTTCACCGGAATTTCATAATAAGGTTGAATTCTACACAATAAGTTCTCCATCCTCAAACAAACAGTCGGGTAGCGAACAAAAGTAGTCACAAAAATGAGTTTTGCTAACCTGCGTGCTTCTCCTTGCTAGGCGAGATGATTGGCTTGTAATCCAGTTCTTCAGCCCACCCGCGTATATCTGTCACTCTGATGGAGGCTTTGTTGGTTTCCCACTGCAAGACCAATTGGTCAGCTACCTCCCTCATATTGTCCGTTGGATCCTTCTGATATACTATTAAAAGCGAACGCCAGGAGTATGCCTTCATAATACTTTCTAACACTTCGGCCAGTTGATAGATGGAGACGCCGACAGAGATTCGTCCAAACGCTGAGAAATCCATCGTTGGGTCTGTTATTGCGCTGCATGTACCGCCTGGGGCGGGCAACGGTTGGGGCAGTGCGACTTGGCTAGCCAGTGGACACTGATATCCTACGCGGTGGATGTATGTAGATCTCACAGTTCGGCAGTTTGCCGCCACGCTTAGTGTCCATGCATCGACTTGATCACATTGTAAGGGGAGCATGGGACCGACGAGAACCGAACGATAGTTGATTTGTGCAGCGTCGGTCAGCGCCATCTTTGAAGCATCGTCTATCGCTTGAACAAATTGAGCAGCCTCGGTATAAGTCATAAGACAGCCTGGGGTTGGTGCTACTGTGGTTAAAGTCACGGTAGACTGTTGAGGTCCAACATTTAGGTTCATCGCCATATTGACAGTTTCCGTTAAGTTAAACAACAATGTGGGCGCCAAACATTCATCTTTTGGTAGGAATACATATAACCGAAGGTGATAGTTCTGACATTGGATAAACGATGGGTATGTACAAATTACCAATATCCACACAACATCCATGGCACACACAGTTGTTGTAGATAGACCAGTCTGTGTAATGGCTAATACTCTCACTAACCGAAATGATTGGGCTTTTGACTTCAAACGATCCTGACAAGCGCCACAGACATTCTAGTTGCATCAGTATATACTGCGATTCTGAGCAGCCACAAGTATTTCGAGTATCAGGTTGCGAAATTTAGGCAACGCCCAGTGAACATGCTGATTGGCCACCTCGGATACAGCGTTGCTCCCCAACTGTTGCTAGACCTACCATGAAAATAGTTCGAACTTGGCTATGCATCGATCATTACTGGAAACGGTGGCTTAAACGGAATTGCTGCTACTGCTAATATTGCTCAGAATTTGGGCGTGAACCAATGGTTGAACGATGGACGAAACATTGGCAACAGCCCATCCTACTTGCATTAAGCTGACATAATACTGAAACACGGCTCTCAACTAAGCGACATGTAGCGATGTTTTTAAACCAAATCAGAGTATGTAATGAATGCTCTGGATCAACCGCGTATTAGGTCCTAAAACGTTTTTAAATAGATGCGACATTCAAACAAACCATAACCACTAGTTTTCAGGTAAAGACTAGAAGGTAGCCAGTAGCTAGTTGTTGTCTGATCCGTGATTTGTTCCTTGGTCGTTTGCTCTATTCCGTCTGGGACAGCCAAATGACGATCCGGATCCTGGACACAAATCAATGCCGATCAGTGTATTACCACTTAACCACTGGGATGTGGACAAAGCTTGCAAAGCCGATTTAAGACCGATTGTTACTTTTGTTTTCCTTACATATCGTATGACTTGATTGTTACACACAGACAGTATTCGGGAAAGAGCGGCATCATACAGGTCGATAGCCGCGAATTCACGTAATCTTCAGGCAAGCTATTCACTTCCCTTCTTGAAGCCTCCGTGACTTGTAGGACATCTCAATACTGGATACAGTTTAGCATCTTTTATGCATAATATAGTACAACGCACTCTCATAGCGGCCCCACGATACCACAACAATACTGTTAGATTAACCACCTAGTTCTTCTGGATAATCTCTATCAAGAAAAGGGCTGTGCGGCGGCCTATGCGTATGGGCTCAAGCAGGGTGTCGCAGAAGCCGTCCCATACAACGTGTAATACTTCTCGTGCCCACGATGGTCTAAGATGTCTCAAAGAGGTAGTGACCAAAATGCAGGCAAAATGAAATGGGTGATACGGCGTGGCAGTATAGACCTACCACGCATTTTCATAGCGCACGTTAGCTCCATTTAGCCACAAGCATACCATTCAAAAGGCCGCCTAGAAGGTGGGAGAGTCTTCACAAATTCTCGATTTGAAGATATTATAACCCTACAATGACCTTCCGTGTAATGAGGGTCACAACAGCCCGATGGGGTCTGTCACGGCAAATTTACCCTGGAGTTGACAGTATCCGGGTGAGACTTTTGTGTTGAAGAGCCAAGAAGTGTTTGGGGTGATATTCTAGTAGGGGTCCATTTAGCTGACTACTTTCAAAAAACTTCCTTTCTGAAGGCCTCGACGTTCTGAAAGAAAGGACCTCGTAATCTTACAAATCACTTGTGCAGAGCAGCTCAAGTAGGGTCTCGCATTCACAATCATTTAGCTACAGCGTGTTTCAGCTGGTTGTACAAACACACCACTAATTCAGAAATACATATCCGAATGCAGTTCAGTGAGCGTTGCGATGGTTTCGACTTTACGCTTATGAGCATCCTAGATAGACCGTTTGGTGGAAGCATGCAGATTAGAAAAGAATGAAGGAACAATGGCACCTTTTTGCTTTTAAATAGCTTGAATTGTTGGTCCAGCAGGAAGTAAGCGTATACCGTTGGATCTGTCAGGGTGTGCAGGTGACAGCAGGGGTGGACATGCTCGTCCGGTCTTCCGGAAGAAGGATGGTCGGCGGACCATCTGTCTATCATCTGTTATCGCTCAATGAACTCGGGCCAAAATACATGGTGCAGACTTGTCATGTGATGACAGGGCCCAGCAACATTATCATCATCATGACACGTTAGCTAGATGTGAGAGACACTACAGCTAATGTGCCCCAATACAAAACCATAAGATATAATCAACAAACTAAACAGTAAACATTACAGTATACAAAATGAGACCCAAAACAAGTGACGATTTATTTCGTGGCACACATTGCATCAAGTATGAGATTGCGTTTGGAAGGTGAAACTACGTGGAAGAGGGAGAGACAAAGAAAATCGCAACACAAACGCCACTGAAGTCGGCTGTTCGTCTTAACAAAAGGTGTCTCCAACCAAACATACTCACTGACTTTCTGATCCCAACCCGGCAGTCTGGAGACACCAACCGACGCCAACTTCGAAGTGAAAGTTTTCATTCCTCTTTACCAAGTCATCGCCTGGGGTCCCTACCACTTTTTCATCCATACTAGGTGACACAAATAATGGACGACACGACAGTCGGTTTGGTGGCATGCGCAACACGAAACCCAACCATCCGAGGTTGGTGCGTGAAACAACGAGGCTGAGCGGCTCCCTCTTTCTTCCTGCACCATTGCTCACGCGGTGCTCCTACCATACATGAGCTAAACTGTGAAGGCACCGGTAGTTGAACATAATAAACCTCTGTAGTTAAGTCAGTCCGATGAGCCACGTTTCGCAAACGTATAGGAGGGTTGAACGGATGGTTACATTGTAAGCTGCTCTTCAAGGCGTGTGACGTCGCACCGACACCACAGGTGATGGAGCTTGGTAAAAGCTCCGCACGTCTTTGCCATATAGTTCATGTTCTTGTCTACTATTCCATCTATGCTAATATAGCTGCCCAGGTACTTGAATTCCTGAACAACTTTTAGCTGATCCCCACCAAGGGTCAGAGCAGAGCTGCGTCCCTGCCAAGCCTGGAGAAAGACTTTGCATTTTGAGAGTGCAAAGCATAGCTCAAAATGCTTGACAGCCATTGCTGATTGGTCCATTACTGCCTGGCATATTTGGAGTTGTCACAAATCAGGAAAACTCGTTGGCGTGCTCTAAGTCAAGAAGTCGATCACCTAGGAGCAGCTACCAACCTTCTAAGTAGTGTCCTGTTTCTATGACTTAGTCCACTGCGATGGTGATGAGGGTAGGTGACGTCTGGTATCCACCTCACACACAGCTAGAGATATTGAACGGTGGCGACCGTTTAACATAAGCCAATGGTGCTCAAAGCCTTTGAGGCCGAGGGTTAGAATAAGTATAGGGAACATGCCCACGTACCGGCTGCATTCTCCACCCCCGCTAATAACATATACCCCTCGGAATTCCAACATCTGGAGCTAGCCCCCGTAGAGGCGATGATGCAAATCCATCTAAGTGGACATAATACACTGGTTAAATATTTTACTCACACAATCTGGTTTGCAATCAAATCACAACCAATTTGAGGATGTTACATATTTTCGCTCTAGTCCCAAATCTCTAACCTTTAATATGAGGATTACGCCTGCAGTTCAGACACGAGCTTCTTCTTGTTTGATTCAACGTGACTTACACCCAGTCGTAAGAGTTCGTTTTAAGCACTGCAGATAAATCAGATCCAACTTTAAACTAAGTTACGTCGTCGCAGCAGCAGTACCAAACGGGTTATCTAACGATCGTATGCACCAATATTTTTGGAAGTTTTGAAACTATTGGCTGAAATTGTCCTTCAAGAGCTTCAGCATCTCAATCACACGGCTCGTTGGAACTGGAACGCCGACGGTTTGCGCAGCTGACTGCAGTTCTGAGCGAATAGGAAAATATGCCAATGTACTTTTCTGTGCACTCTAAATGAAAAGCCGCAACTTCCATTCAAGCGACTCTACATCGCCGTAGATATGAGAGATAACTCTACCCTGACCAAGTTTTCAATTAAGTGAGCAATCAGATTACATAAAATTGCTAGGTCTGCGGTACAAGTTTCGGTTGCTCGGTTTGAAAAAAACTTTGGAACACCTTCCCCCCGGCTCAGCCATTGGGATTCATTGTTGTACCGCAAGTCATCATGGTCAGCCTCCATCTTTTGCAGAAAGGTTTTGACGGAGCTGGGATTAATAACAGTAATAATTATGAACTTTACTATGCTTTCTGTTGTTGGCATGACAACTTCCAAGTTCACCACCATATCTCACAAGACCTCTTCGTGAATTATGCAGTGCAGTACAACCAGCTTTTAATCACCAATGGATTCCTTGAACTTGTAACATAGCTGTGCATCAAGACCGTTATGCGTTCCGATGATACTTTTTGCTCCGTTACTGGTCACTCCAAACAATCTTACCCACTACAAACTAAGCTTAACAATAATTGTACTGATTGCAGCAAAGCGATCTGCCGTTGTTGTACCAGGCAAGCTATTTACTGATGCAAATACCTTAACTTCGAAAGTATTGCTAATTTCGCTTCTGGCAATTAACAACTGTGTAGTAGACTTGAGATCGCTGGCTTTAGCTTTCCCTGTTCCAGCATGCCTATGAAGACGTCGGCGAGGAACGGACCCAGTGGGGAACCCATCGCTACCCACCTCGCACTGCTGGTGTTATTCGTCATTGAATAGAAATTGAACATTGAACGTGCATCTGAGCAATAGTTCCTTTAGGATCACCTTGGGTATGCCAACATTAATATGGTTTGCATCAACATACTCACAGATGTATTTTATGGTCTCAACTAATGGCACATTGGTGAAGAGTGAAGTAACGTCGAGGGAGCACATGGTTAGATTGGAAACACTTACATCCTGCACGGTATCCACAAACTCAAAACTATCCT